AAGAATAAGTAACTGAAAAACTACGACTGAAAAATAATATGCCGACGCCTATGTCGAGGCGGGTATTCCTTCTCTGTGCTGTTCCAATTAGTATTGGAAATACTATACCAACTGGGTTGGCACTACATTTATAATTTGAGTTATTCAGAAAAAAAGTTGATGATTGATAACAGAAGGGGGTGATGCAACGTATTTATTAAAATAGTCCATGTTTTTTCCAACAATGCAAAGAGAACGACCTATTTTTGTTTTTGTATTTGGAATTTGAACAATCAATGATTTATCCAATAATTCAATGTCTTCTAATAATAAATGGCACAACTATTCACGCCAGCAGGCTTCATATATTCCGAAAATAGTAGAAACTTGGTAACCAGGTGATTAGGCGTCACCTGACACGGCCACTTCACAGTAAATGCGATACCATGAAAATAGTTAACTGACAAGAGACGTCAAAATGTGTTTTTATAGAAATATTAAAGTTATCTATTTCATTATGGAAACAGGACTGTTGTAGAAAAAACTTTGTATGATATTTGTGTTAGAGGTAAATTTTATTCTGTTCGTGAAATTGCTCAACTCGCTGCGCTCGTTTCGCAAACTTTTTCACTCACAAAGTGAAACCTTACTTTTAACACTGATATCATAAATAGCTATTCTTTACTCAGTTTGCATAAGCGAATGAATGTCATTACGTACTGTCATCGATGACATGAGTATATTGAACTCCGCGACATAAAGTCGTGATTTCATGAATGAAATGAATGTAGACGTTTTGAAACCATATTCTTTGTTGCCAAAAAAAGTTTGTCGGTTGATTTTTAAAATTGAAATCTCTTGTTATTTTGATAATTGCCAAGAATGAATAGTAGTTTCTGTTTGTCGACGAACATACTTTCTCAGCAAAAAATAAATATGATTTCAAAAAATCGAGAGAAAGAACGTTAAAAATATGAATGATATAAGCTTATCATTACATAAAAATGTTCACCATTTCCTAGTTTGAAAAATTTGATACAGCATTTCGTTAAAGTACTTTCACATGCACGCAAGGGCTCTAGGGAAATGTACTTTGACTTTCATTTAACCTTCGAAAAACTTCGTTAACCCTAGACCTATCATAAAAATATGAATTTCTATTATGAATACGAAGCTGACCTTGAAACTGCCTTCAAAGTTGGAATCAAGGTCAAATCCAATTTGGTCATTGAATTCTTCGTCGAAAATTACCCAGGGTATGCCTTTTTGTTATAATAGTTGCCGTCTGTAGAAAATTTTTAGGTTTGAAATTTTTCAAAACATGTTCGAAACCATCCAATAACATTAGATCGGTTTTCAGCTCTTGCTATTCTCTCAACTGAAAATGAAGAAGCTCATTCGTTAGATTATAATGCTTCAATCAAAAACTTGAGTCAAAAAAATTACCAAATTCCTTCGTATATCTTTTGAAGCAATCATGCACCTTACTTTTCCTCATTTATTTATTTTTAATAAATTTTCTGGTACAGTATCTTAAAGCTCAAAATTTATTTACTCATAAATTTCATCTTCTACCAATCATCAGAAATACCTGTTTAAAATTCACATACTTTTCACAATAGGCAAGGACTTCATTAGGATGTGCTGTCCAGAGTGTCGCAATGATTTAGCTCGCTCTCATTAAAAACGTGGGTTCGCATTTTAACCCACGTATATAGAGCTCCTCCTCTAAGCGTGTCACATTACTTCAATTATTATCATTTTTAATTCAATTTTCCAATTATTTTCATTTCTTTTTCATTTGAGTACCCTTTGAATTTTAAAACATTTTCAAGAAATGAAGGTGTAAACTTTGAACAAGAAACACATCAGAAAAACATGTCCACATAATATAAGTATAGGCACATACGAGGTCTGTTAAAAAAATAAGGTGAATTTTCATTTTTCCTAAAAAATATTCAGATTCATCAATTTATGTTTTGTCTCCTTCGAAGTATTCATCCTCAGATATAATACACTTGCGCTAGCATTTTTTCCCAACCTTGAAGCAGCTCTGATATGCACCTTTTGGTATGTCTTTGGGTTCTCAGGGGAACAAATCCGGTGAATACGGTGGCGGAGGTATGATGATAGTGTTGTTTTTGGCCAAAAAATCACCAACAAAGCAATAACGAGTAAGCAGGTGCATTATCGTGATGCAAAAGCCATGAATTGTTTTCCACATTATCAGACGTATTCTTCGTATTGCTTCTCGAACGCATAACTTCAAAATAATAGTCATTTTTGACTGTGCGACCATTTATCAAGAACTTCTGATGCACTACGCCACGGTGATCGAAGATAATAATGAGCAAAACCTTGACATTTGATCGAATTTAGCGTGCTTTTTCATCTTGGCTCTTTCATCGGGACGATTGGATTTTAATTTTGATTTCATACCCATATACCCATGATTCGTCACCAATTTTGAAATTATTACTGCAAAGCATGAGCCATCCGATATGCCGGCATCCTCAACAACTTCTCTAATAGTGATTCGACAATTCTCTTCAACAATGTTCTTCACTTTGTCAACATTTTCATCGGTTGTTGATGTGCTAGGGCGTCCAGGGTGGACGTCGTCATTCACATATTCTCGACCTTCCGTGAAAAGCTTGTACCACTTGTAAACATTCATTTGAAAATCATCGTATGCGACTGTTAACGTTTCGAGTGTTTTTGAGCACTTCATTCCATTTTTATACAATATTTGATACAAATTCTTTGATCCATTTCTTTTTCGATAACAGAAAATCGTCGGTCACGCAAAATACTTCAAACTTGCATACCTCTCACCAACAAACTAAATATGCTGAAAAGCTAAAAATGTGAACATATTAACATAAAAAAATCACAAATCGAATGTTCGCCGCTCGCGAAATTTGAACAATCACAATATTTCTTGAACAGACCTCGAATTGCCTTCTTCGTCCAATATCTTGTCATTCTTCAAAGTATTATCGAGACTAAATGAAATCTGAATAACAAATTTCTGGATGTCGTGTGTATTCGCTATTTCAAAACTGTGGTTGAGGTCGCCAAAGATTATTTTCGAAATGTCCAATATTTCTTCGATCAATTCACTACATTATGACGTCATACTAATCTTTATTTTGCTACTCAAAAATAGCACTTAGGCTGGAAATGAGCCAGTAGAAATATATTTCATATTCATTCTGGTCTCAATTATATCTTACACAATAAACACAAATACTATAAATCATGTCTGAAAGATGAAAACAAGTCAAATACATGGACATTGCGTTATCTGCATTAGTAAAAAAACGCGATATAATTTACAACTTCGAAAGCAAAATACAATTCTCAAAAATTTAGGAATATGTTGTGTCAATATTTCAATATTCGAACATTATTTCATAACAATTCTAGATTTTTCCAGTTTTCTTGCCATTTTTATTTCGCAACTCTCCGATATTCAATATATATTCCATAAACTAAGTTGAAAATAGTATAATAAATTAATAAATCGACACACTTCACTTTTCAATCAACTTTGATACTAACTGAATTGATTGAACGTAAGGTCAGTTTGAAAATCCAGTTGTTTTCCAAGGGATTGATTGGATCAGACATACCCAGAATTTGGATTGGTCGGCGCGGAATTTCCTGCCCGATTACCGAATTTGAATTCTCTTAATTTTTTCGTCTGAGGCTAATCGAAAGTTTATGTTGCGTAACCTGGGACAGAAACATTCTAAAATGTTGAGAAAGAGTTCAAAAATAAATTGTTGTATTTCTGGGAAAGAAAGTTCTTGGCTTTCTACTACTCCATTTTGATACAAAAAAATGTGGGAATTTTCCAAAGAAAGGAAGGAAGCAATCATTTTTTTCTATCAAGATGGAGTAGTAGAAAGCCAAATTGCGGGTTTCTTCAGAAAAAACAATGTGGAAGTGGCATTCAGACCACATGTCTTATTTCCTTCTCAATGCCAAAGATAAGGTGGACAAGTTGGAGAAATCTGGAGTTTATAAGCTTGAGTATAATACTGTTTATGTGGAGCAATGTGGCCGAAATGTCCAAAAACGGTATGCTGAACATGAAAGGTCCTTCAGACTAGGAAAAAATGATTCGACGTTCTCAAACCATTCCTTGGCATGCAACCACAAGTTTCCGAATCTAAACAATACAGAAATTTTGCACTATACAAGGAAGGGTTATAAACTCAATCATACAGAATCCTTGGAAATTCATAAGCATAAACATTGCGGGTGCAACCTGTTAAATGATCAAATCGATTTAGTTCATTCGCTGATTTTCAAATTGGCACATCCGCATTGTAAACTGTAAATTCAGGTACTCAATTAAGCCAAGTACCTCTATTAGTACCTCTATTACTGGTAAAAAACATAGAAGGTTTCATTTCTCTTTTCTTCATTATGATTTCCTACCACGTAGTAACGGCTACATCCATCAATTTACTTTTCTGATATAGTAACTGATTTACGTTGAATCGCTAAGGAATTGATGAAAACCATCAGGAGTTTAAATGAATATTATTAATCCTAGATGCAGATGAATCCTGATCTGAGAAAGAAATGGGCAAAGCAATTAAATGCTTCTAGTAAAGATGGCCAAAAGAGTATATTTACAGTCTAAGCAAAAACTGGTCATGATTTCAAAGGTTTATTGGTCTTCTTGCAGTGAAAGCCACAGATAAGGATAGTGTTAGCGAAACATGTTTGTAAAGATCAAATTGTGTGGTATAGTTTATGAAATTACTATGGATCTTCGTAACGGCTGAGTCAATCAGAAAACTATTCATTACTGTAACCAATAAACATTTATTAAAAATTCTGACATAGTACTAGAGTAGATAAAGTACTAAAGTACCAAAAATTATTTCTCTCCATACAAATCTTGTCTGACTTTGATATCTTGTCCCATTCGAAAGTTAAGAGTTAGGATACTATTAACAACCGCACTGTAATCTGTCAATTTACTGTTTCTGTTTTTTTTTCAGAAAATAACAATGAGTGGACCATTCAAACGAAGGCCTTCTCTGAAGTCCCTTCCAGCCTTCAGCATTCCTCCAGATGCTATTCGCAAAGCCTCTATCAGAAGGGCCTCAGCTGTGGGCTTGGGTGTGAAACCATCGCCTGCGACTCACCAGGAAGTGCCATGGGATATGCTCGACCGATGTACTCTCCCGATTCTTTTTTGTCATGCTACTGCTGTTATCTTGAGCAACGCTTTGAACGTCCTGCACATCTCAGAAGTATCCACGTTCACCCTCTTCATTTGGTTCACAATAGTAACTATTGGGGCAGTTCTGTTCTATCATAATTTGAAGGTGAGTATTTCTCTTTCCGTAAATGCTAAAATCGCAGAACCTAGACATTCATTATTTCATCTCCCAAAAATAGGTTACCCTCTCAAAAGTAGACCATAGACCAACAGTGCTGTATTCATGATAACGCTCTTTCGATCTGCCAAAGATCTAATCAATGTTTTCTTCTGTTTTCTAAGTATATAACCTCCAACAATCTGAAAAAACAAAAACTAAATCAATAGAGAACCTGCTGAAGTGTAATAAAGGGCAAACTAAAAAGTTCCTGGTGAGTTTCGTTATTGTGAGTTTGTCCACAAATGTTCCGGTTGGTAAAACCCCAAGAATTGTAAAAACTGAATCAGAAAAGGATGATAATCTCATGAAACTTTTTTCCAGTTCAATGGAGATTTTTATCAACAAGAATTTGCAATGGCAATGGGCTCATCCTTGTCACCGATCCTGAGCAACATTTTCATGGAGCATTTGGAAGAAACATATATCGAAACTCACCAGAATGGTCCAAATATATGGTGGAGATATGTTGTTGATGTTTTTACTATCTAAGACCACAACCCAGATGATATCAAGGTTTTTTTGAATAATTTGAACTCAAGAGAACCCACAATAAAATTCACATTAGAGAGAGAAGTTCCTTATAAATTTTCTTCTTTCAATGTTATGATAAAAAATTGATAAATACTCCTGGTACGAGTGCATATCGAAAAACACTCATACTAACAGATATCTCCACTATAATTCTCTTCGCCACGATAACGTCAAAAAAGGGATAGTTAGATGTTCGTATGATTAGACAAATACAGTTTGCATTTCAGTTCTTAATATGAGAGAGAAAATAACTATCATTAGAACAGTTTCGGAGCAAAACGCATATTCGGAGCAGTTTGTGTAAGGAGCTCACATTGAAGTTGTTGAAAGCGATATGCCTACAACATATACAGATCCCACAATTACCACAAATCAAATTACAATATACATATCTCACAACTAACGTCCAACTGTTCCCGGTTTGTCTGAGAAATCACGACGCATGCATCAGTTATAAATATAATGTGAGAAGAACTTTTAGAACTACTTTAGAACACATTCAAATCTCTTTCGATACAAACTAACCCACAGATACGGGTGAAAGAACGAAAGATTGTATTCACAATATACCTTGTTCCTGTGAAAAAAGTTAAATAGGTGAAACCTTAAGACCCCTAGATGTGAGAAAAAATTATCATCATGGATATATAAGGATGAGTCAGATGTCGGGATCGGGCTTAGCGGAGCATAATCTAAAATCATCTGGTGTTTACGCTATAGAACGGAGTGAAATAAAAATTAACTACAAAGAAACTCATGGGAAATTTGAAAAACTCAAAGTATCCGCATATATTCTTTCAGCAGTCGACAAGTGAATGTCGAATAGCTCTGTGCCATTACTACATTACTACTGCCATTACTGAGAAGATAGGTTGAAAACGGAAATATGAACCTTAACTGAACTAAATTCTCAAAAAACATACAGTACGTGTGTTCATGTAAACTGTCGCATATGACATCTGGACATTTCATTATTTTAACTCATGTCAAAAGAAATTAGAGCTATCACAGTTTGGGGAGAGATTTTTATAGTGAATTTCGAGTTTTGAAGACGGAAAAGGATTGTATTCCGAAACGTCAACCACTTAAGAAAGCTAAGTATTAATATAGGCCAGGCGTATTATATTTTTTTGAGGAAAAAATTCCTTACAGCGCAAACTCAACGGGAATGGGTTGGTAAGGTAGTCAGTAATATTGGGGCAAAAATTCAACAGCTGAATGTTTACAGGGGCGGAGGTGAAAAGGGGTGAAAAACAGTTTTTCGCGGTTTGCGGCCAAAATAATTATTTTAGAGAAAAAAGTTGGATAGGAAAGTTGTAAATAATAAAAACATCTATAACGTTTGTATTCATACTTTTTTCACATAAAAATTCACTCAAAATTTTCGAGTAAAACGCGAAAAACCACTTTTTTCGTTTTTTATTTTTCATTTCACGAAAAAAAAGCGTATCACTATGAAAATTTGAGCAATTGTACCATTTTTTAGCACAAATAGGTATCAATTTTTTTTGCGATAAGTTAATTAGTTTCTGAGAAATTCGCGTTTTTCGAAAAAAAATCATTTTTTTCAAGTTAGTCAAAAAGATTTTTTTTGACCTAGACAACTTTTACACCGCTCATTTTTTTCGTAATTATATCAACTTTCAGATGAAAAAATTAAAATATACTACTTTAGGCAAAAAAAATCGTTTAAAATGCAAAAAACTGAAAAATTGTGCTTTTTCGTGATTTGTTTCATATTATGTAATTAAACGATTTTCAAACTAAAATACAGTTGAAAAATTTTTATTATAGAATATTTAGGATGCTTTGAATTGATTATCAAGATTTTATAGTGGCAAATTGAACAAATAAAGCTTCAAGTAAAATGTTTATTTAACAAAGATGCAGGTAACCATACATTATACATAAGATAATGAAATAAAAAATTGTCTTAATCTAATTAATTCTCGCTCTTTTACTTTGCGGCCCTGGTTGTTGATCTTGTTGTTGTTCTTCTTCTTCTTCTTCTTCGTCTTGTACATTTTTATCGGATTCTTCTTGAAGATCAAGTTGCTCAGCAAAAACATCATACGTGTCGTCAATTTGGGTACATCTCGATATTAGAACACTTATTCGAATCGCAACAGTTTCTGCACAGCTGCGAGCATTTTAACCCATGCTTTCGGCAACTGCAGCGCAAAGTGGTACAGCTGCAATGAATTTTTTCAAGCAAACAGTCAGGAATCAACTGTTCATCGGTGTAGTTTGGCATGAGGATGCCGTCGCTAGACATCTTCCAACCCCAATCCGTTGCATTAATTGAATTTCCGAACCATGAGTGAAGTTGGTGATACACACGTAAAATGTGCTGCTTTGCAGCTCCTTCCGTTGGTGGTAATTTTTTCAATTTAAATGTAGATTTGATCGATGCTGTTTGATACAGATCAAATCTTAATTCGTTCAACGACATACTTTTTTTTGCTGTACATTGCTGCAATCAATTTGCAGCCATTTTTTATTAACAAATCTTCATCAGCATTTACATTATAAAAAATAATCAGCAAAATCCATAAAATTTGTTATTGCTAACAAAGACTTTATCGCAGTTCTTTTACCTTTTCCTGTGAAACTGGAGGTTGTATCACAACCAGTGTTTTTTTATGTCAGTGTTGGTGGTTTGACCAATATTGGTCAAACCTAACCTAACCTAACCTTAATCTATCTAATCTAATCTTAATCTAATCTAGGCAGCTATAGCTACCTACGTGGTCATGTTAGATGTAGCCTGGGAATTCTAGGTCTTCTAACTGGAAGCACAAATGTGCGGTTGGCACCTGTTGTTGACTCCGTGCTTATGTGTTGTTTCCTGCTCTCGGCAAACAAGTGTTGCCCACCTTCACACTTGGCTGCACCGCGCTGATGAGGCCAATAGCCAAAAACACGTGTCCGCGGTTTGTCCCCCTTTTTGGAGTGTTATGTCCACTAATTGTAATACCAACGACAGTTTAATCGTGTACATTAGGGAGTGTACATACATTAACAAGCCCAATTTTTCAGTTTTTTGCATTTTAAACGATTTTTTTTGCTTAGAGTAGTATATTTTTATTTTTTCATCTGAAAGCTGATGTATTTACAAAAAAAAGAGCGGTGTGAAAGTTGTCTAGGCCAAAAAAAACCTTTTTGACTAACTTGAAAAAATTTTTTTTCCGAAAAACGCGAATTTCTCAGAAACTAATTAACTTATCGCCAAAAAAAAATTGTTACTTATTTGTGATAAAAAATAGTACAATTGCTTAAATTTTCATAGTGATACGCCTTTTTTTCGTCAGATGAACAATAAAAATCGAAAAAGGTGTTTTTTTGCGTTTTACTCGAAAATTTTGACGTTATGTGAAAAAAGTGTGAATACAAAAGTTATAGATTTTTTTATTATCTACAACTTTCTCATTCAACTTTTTTCTCTAAAATAATTATTTTGTCCGCAAACCACGAAAAACCGTTTTTCACCCATTTTCACATCCACCCCTCCACCCCTGCAAACATTCAGCTATTAAATTTTTGCCCCAACATTACTGACTACCTTCCCAACCCATTCCCGTTGAGTTTACCCTGTAAGGAATTTTTCTGAAAAATCAGTATTTTTCAACATAGTACGCCTGGCCTAATAGATAAATATTCGTTTTGAATTTGAGTGTACTTACGTATAAGGTGTAAACGTGACCTAGTGAATAAATGCTTGTGTTTTTAAATAGTTTATCTTGTGAAAAAGAAGGCTGAAAAGTTGCCCTTTTGTGAACTTTAAAGGGCCGTAACTTTGTAAATAAGGGAGAGTGCCGCTTTTTCCTTTCGGATTCGTAATCTACGCATCAAAATACGTACGTACACTCAAATTTTTTTTCAAAATCGCCGGGTGCCCTCAAAACGAATATTGTATTGTATTGAATTGTTTCAATTGATTTTTTCAATTTGTAGACAAAATTTATGAATACGACAAGTAACTGACTAATTGGTCCCTTCAGTAGTTTATATTACGCAGTGTCTCTTCGGGGTGAACTTCTTAGTTTGCCCTTCATTACACTTCAGCAAATTCTCTATTGATTACCTTTCAGATTATGGAAGGTTTCAAACCCAAAAAACAGTAGAAAATATTGAGTCCTCCACGAAATAATTCCTTTTGAAGAATATCTATTCAATGATACTAGCGAGTCATGAAGCAACTTTTGAACTTTCATGTCATTAATAAGTACAACTTTGCGGAGGAAAATACGATATCGTCCTTTCCAAAGACACCCTTTATCAAATTGAATCACCAATGATTCCTTCGGTAAGTTATCTTCAGTATATTCCACTTCGTTCTTTTGGTTGGAATGAAAATATACTCTTATGGCCATCTTCGCTAGAAGCATTGAATTGCTCTGAATGATATTGCATGT